TCTTAGGGGATAGCCATTGTCAGTTCTTAGTGGATAGCCAATGTCAGTTCTTAGGGGATAGCCATTGTCATTTCTTAGGGGATAGCCATTGTCATTTCTTAGGGGATAGCCATTGTCATTTCTTAGGAGATAGCCATTGTCATTTCTTAGGGGATAGCCATTTCTTAGGGAATAGCCATTGTCATTTCTTAGGGGATAGCCATTGTCAGTTCTTAGTGGATAGCCATTGTCAGTTCTTAGGGGATAGCCATTGTCATTTCTTAGGGGATAGCCATTGTCAGTTCTTAGGGGATAGCCATTGTCATTTCTTAGGGGATAGCAATTGTCAGTTCTTAGGGGATGGCCATTGTCAGTTCTTAGGGGATAGCCATTGTCATTTCTTAGGGGATAGCTATTGTCATTTCTTAGGGGATAGCCATTGTCATTTCTTAGGGGATAGCCATTGTCAGTTCTTAGGGGATAGCCATTGTCATTTCTTAGGGGATAGCCATTGTCATTTCTTAGGGGATAGCCATTGTCATTTCTTAGGGGATAGCCATTGTCAGTTCTTAGGGGATAGCCATTGTCATTTCTTAGGGGATAGCCATTGTCAGTTCTTAGGGGATGGCCATTGTCAGTTCTTAGGGTTTAGCCATTGTCAGTTCTTAGGGGATAACCATTGTCATTTCTTAGGGGATAGCCATTGTCATTTCTTAGGGGATAGCCATTGTCAGTTCTTAGGGGATAGCCATCGTCATTTCTTAGGGGATAGCCATTGTCAGTTCTTAGGGGATAGCCATTGTCAGTTCTTAGGGGATGGCCATTGTCAGTTCTTAGGGGATAGCCATTGTCAGTTCTTAGGGGATAGCCATTGTCATTTCTTAGGGGATAGCCATTGTCATTTCTTAGGGGATAGCCATTGTCAGTTCTTAGGGGATAGCCATTGTCATTTCTTAGGGGATAGCCATTGTCATTTCTTAGGGGATAGCCATTGTCATTTCTTAGGGGATAGCCATTGTCAGTTCTTAGGGGATAGCCATTGTCATTTCTTAGGGGATAGCCATTGTCAGTTCTGAGGGGATGGCCATTGTCATTTCTTAGGGGATAGCCATTGTCAGTTCTTAGGGGATAGCCATTGTCAGTTCTTAGGGGATGGCCATTGTCAGTTCTTAGGGGATAGCCATTGTCAGTTCTTAGGGGATAGCCATTGTCATTTCTTAGGGGATAGCCATTGTCATTTCTTAGGGGATAGCCATTGTCATTTCTTAGGGGATAGCCATTGTCATTTCTTAGGGGATAGCCATTGTCAGTTCTTAGGTTATAGCCATTGTCATTTCTTAGGGGATAGCCATTGTCAGTTCTTAGGGGATGGCCATTGTCAGTTCTTAGGGGATAGCCATTGTCAGTTCTTAGGGGATAGCCATTGTCAGTTCTTAGGGGATAGCCATTGTCATTTCTTAGGGGATAGCCATTGTCATTTCTTAGGGGATGGCCATTGTCAGTTCTTAGGGGATAGCCATTGTCATTTCTTAGGGGATAGCTATTGTCAGTTCTTAGAGCTAAGTTGATTAACTAAGGTGATAGATATTGCAAAACAAGCCAAAGTGATGATTTAGGAGAGAAATTGTCATATCTGCAAGATAAGGTGATCTCTTAGGTGACAAACATTGCCAATGTGATTACTAAGGTGTTAAACATTATTTCTGCAAGCCAAAACGATTCTTGCACTGCTAACTCTACAAGTCAGAAAGAAGATACTGCACTTAATTAATTTGGTGGATCCGTCAAATTGTTAAAGTCTGCCAAATTAAGTCGCCACCTAATTCTCAGGGATTTGCACTGCACAAAATTGACCACATTTTCCAGTTGAATATTTTCTTTCAAAAGGAGTTGGGTAAACAAGGCCATTTTAAGCCCCACCTGATTTTCAAGTTTTCTCTTTATTTTATTAATCTATGTGATATATGTGTTTCAAAAATGTATGAAAATTTAGGTCAAGGTCATATTCCCCAGGTCAAGGTCAAATTAAAAAAATTCATTATTTTCTACCAAAATATACCTTTTTGGTTAAAATATCACAAATATCTGTAGGAATTTAGTCTCATAGAGGTTGGAATTACAATATATAGTAAATTGGCAATTTGCCAATAATGAGATATTTATATTAATATATTCCGCCCTTCCCACGCAACACTGAAAGAGAACAAAAGTACCTAAAATAATGAAAATACTTTATTATTTTTAATTCATTTAAATTCAGAATGTACATTTCATGATTTTCCTCTGCCAATATCATATTTTCCCTCAGGATAAAATTCATATTCCATCCCTCCCATTATATAACCTCTATTTATCCTATGTCAAGTAGAGTTTTAGGGAGATAAGTTGGTAAGATATATCCCGTATCCTGATTTTGAGGTTTCTATATTTAGAACCTCCATATCTCCCGCCATATCTCCCGCTTCGGTGCATATCTTCCCGCATCCGGTAAGTAGTGGAAATGCAATAAAATGACTTTGCATATGAATGATAAGTTTATTTTTACACCTTGTACTTTTGAAATGGCCATATGGCCCTGAAAACTCTACTTGGTATAGGATAAAGCAGTTATGTACGGTCGGTTTGGATATTGGGTTCATCCCTCGTGAAATATGCACATCTACCTTCGGTCCCTACGGTCCCTCAGGTAGATATGCATATCTCCCTCTGGATAAACCCAATATCCAAAACCTCTCGGTACATAACCCTTATGTATTCAATAGCAATATCACCCAATTCAATATCGCCCAAATATGACCCAGATAATGTCCTAATATCATAGCAACATCAACCAATTGTCAATCAAATGTCACTCTATGTCAATCCAAAATAACCCAAGTATTTGCCTCATATTATTTAAGTAACAGTCCAATATCAAGCCTCTTATTTACCAAATATCACCCAATTATTCTGATTGTAATAATATCCCACTGTAAATCCAATATCAGCCAAATATGAGCCAAATAATGGACCCAATATGATAGCGATATCACCCCAATATCAATCCAATATCACCCAAATATTAGCCCAATATTATAGCAATATCACCCAAATATAAGCCCAATTCGATAGCAATTTCTGACAAATATCAATCCAATATTAACTTTATATCTGCCTAATTACCAACATATTGCCATTACATAAGCAATATCAAAAATATAAGTTCTGATATCAACCTAATATCACAACAATCTCCTCCCAAATCAAGCTTATGTTACCTCAATATCACTTCTATTATTAGTTGCAATAGTCTTGACTTGTGAAGCTAAATCTTCTGTAACCTTTCTCCGTTTTCTAGGAGAATTTACCTGCTTCCTACATATGCAGCATGAATAGCATTTGGCCATTTTGAATAATCAACAAAAATGGCAGGCAAAATTTTCTATAAAGTTCTAAAATTCACATCGAGCATAATAAGTCTCCATCAAAATTATTCTTTGTATGCAACAATATAACATTTATGTAACTAAAGAAGCACTTATTAGAGTGGAGACTTGTTATGCTCTATGTGAAAACACTCAAAGGATTACTACCTCCAGTGAATAAAAATGTCACCCAGACACAGCATGAAATGTCCTTTCAAAGCTTTACTTACCTCTAAACTGTACATATTGTTTAAATCAATTGTATGTATGGATCAAATAAATATATATTTACATAATCCTGGACAGATAAATCAAAAACATTCATTCATAGCTGAGTAAATTGGAATTCATCAAGAGGGTTGCAAAATATGTGAATTTTTTTCCTTCTGGCCCCCACCCTCTTTGAAGGTCTCCAGACACCGTAACAATTTTTTCTAAATTTTTAAAAAAATACTACCCAAAAATATAGACTTCAATCTATGCATTTCTGATGTTTTTTTCTCCTATTCTTAAAAAAAGTTTTTTCACACTTCAATTGGGGCACTCTCTGTTGCTAGTTTACCTAACTCCTTTGTTTAAATTCGTCACTTTTGTATAATAACAACACTATGTTCATTCTCAACTACTTTAAAAGAACCAATGACAATTTTCTAGTCAAATTAAAGTCAGCGGATAGCAACAAGGATAAAATTAGGCTCATAAGTGCATTTTTCGTTTGAAGTTTGCCAGATTTTCCATATTCCAAATCTGCTTTTGCAAGTCCACCAAATTAAGTAGCGGCAAAATGTTCAAATCAGCAAATCCGCCAAAATAGGTTGCACCTTTCTAATTACTGCAAAATGACCTCGATTTTCCACAAAAATATATTGGATTTGGCCCAAAATTAGGGTGATAAGATTTACTCATCTACGTTCCCATGTTTTTATTGAGAACCAATCTTGTAGGATTAAAGACGGATAACATCTAAGTCAATCTATTCTTAGAATATCTAAATCTGGAACATGTGAGAATAAGATAAAGGCTAATAGGAAAACCAAATGTGCATGTTTCAATAGATGGCAGTATTGTCAGTTCATCCATAGCCATATGTACGGCACATGTTGTCTGAACTGAACTGTTGTCTGAAAGCAAGAAAACCATTCAGGTACCCTTTGCATTCGTTTGACTTCACTTCTTAAAAGAGAGCTTCGTCTTCACTCTTTCAAACTAAAATAAACCTGTGAATTTACCGCGCCAATCAGTGTTCGTCGGCCAAATTTGACCGACGTTCTATATATGGTCATTCCTTCTGACGTCATCGTTGAGCCCGGAATTGACCAATGACATGGGCATATTTAATTAGAACGCATTTGGCGTATGTTTCTTCAAGCTCGCTAATTGGTGGAAGAAAGGTCAGCGCCGTAGGTCAAAAGTGATTTATTACCCAAACTGTCACCGGTACCCGTCGTGGGGGCGGGGCCACTAAACTGTAATATGGTCTCTACTAGGCAGAGTGTAGTTTAACTAGACTCTGCACGCAGGGTACCATTCAGGTGTACTAGTATTTTGCATCATCCTTCCTCAAGTTTATTCCCTTCCATTTGTACATATGATTATAGCAACATCTTGTACTTTCAGGCTAGAGTACGTAGCAAGGAAATGTCTAAGATGGATTCCCTACTGGACCTGGGTGATACAGGATCTAATGGCACGACTGTGACCAGCACCACTACAACAGTAGAGAGTGGCAACACAGACAATGTGGTAGACCCATTCGACCCATTTGCCTCCCTTACAACAACACAGGTACATACTAGCACGTTGAATTTATGGGAGATATTTAATATAGGAAATAACCTATTATAAAATATTCATGTTTCTCCCATACTTGGGTGTGTTACAGGTGCATAAAGCCAGTTTGTAAAAACTTAGGTTTTTTTAAAAAAAAGCTGAATAGCGCAAATGCAAAAAACACTGAATTGTGAACACCTCATTAAATTCAAATCCCTTAAGATGTCCCAAACTGGAGCTTTGAAAACTAAGAGACTTAAATTTTGACCTTGGCGAAGATAGAAATAATTCCCCATAAAGTTTAGCTCGTAGGAGTGACGGCCCTCTAACAAATAAAAAAGGAATCAATAAAAAATAAAGCTTAGAAAGTCATTATGTGCTTCTCATTCAAGCGGCCTCCTAGTAAGTAAATAAATAAATAAATGAGAATAGCCTCAGAAAGCTAGAGTCCTTTTTGCCTTTTTGGACCTCCTAATAAAAAAATGTTTAACAGTGCAGCAACATTTAAGTGTTGATATTCATTTTGTAGTTTCTAATCAAATGTTGTGTGCAAATTATATGAATGCCATTTAAAAGAAGAAAGAAGAAAGCAATGTTTAAATTCAAGCAATATTCAATGATATATTAATCTTGCCTATTATTCCTAAAAATGGCTTTTTGATGACAGTCATACATGTACAAGGGTTGAGAAAACAAGAATTTTCAATTTGAGACCTGTAAGTATGTCTTATGTTATACTCAAAAAAAGCAGTTTAGAGTAGATTCTAATATATGGGTTACTAATTCTAGCCTCGAAAAACCAAAATTACCACTTGATGTTAGAATTTGCAATAATTTGAGATCTGAATAAAGGTTCTTTATACTCGAATGGAAGGTATTTTATTTTAGATCATAATTAGTGTATCATTTATCTAATTCATGCTTCAGAAAAAAATTAAATGCCCACCAAATGCAAGAATTCTCAATAAATAGGAAATCTATTTCAAGCATGGCTTATATTTGTATATTATACTGAAATATTATATTGTTAAACTTATCAGATTCATGAATTTGATGTTAGGATTTGTCATTTTCTAGTTCATGACTTGTGGATGAAGGGTTTTCATGAATTTTTACCATGTGAGCCTCAAAACTGTTTCTTACCGTATTCTCTCCAATAAACGCACAGTGCGTCTCCCAAATTCTCCTGGAGGAGATGTCTCAAATGACAAAATCCCCGGGGATTTGTGAAAAAAAATTTAGGCGATAATAGGGTGTTTCATGATTTTCCTCTTTAAAACTAGACTCACTCCAACTAGATAACATATTATCATACCTCAATGTTTTCCTCATGCATTTATCAATCTGCTGAATGTGTTTCCGTGGGTTAATTGGCATTATAATACGCATCATTCAATATTGATGATAAACATCTATTGCTCCGAGCAGGCGCCAATTTGGAAATTGACACCGATACTGGAGTCAAAATCTAAAGGCTTCTTGTATCTCAATGGTCCTCATAGTTGGTGAGAATATGTTTTATATCCATATAATGCTACTTAACATTTATAAAGGATTGAATATTTGTTTGTGGGAAAGGGCAGAAGAATATTTATAGATCGGAACTCCCATGATGCACTGCGAGTTTGAGTAATGGCGACGGGCCGAATTAACGTTCATTGTAGCTTTTAACTCATCACTATAAGGTTATCATGAACGTAGTTATAGCTCATAAGGTTCCTTAGACACATCTGTAACAGCATTATACTCACAAACGGCTCTATCGATAGCGGCAAGTGAATAATTCAATATTACCCTATTATCGCCCGCTCGAATAAATTATATTTTTTCTTGATTTTTGTTTTTCAAGTTGCCAGTCTTTCTTGGAAAAGTCGGGTGTGCGTTTATTGGAGTGTGTGCGTTTATTAGAGATAATACGGTATTTACCTGGTCATATGACGTGTTCAAATATCATGTCCTAATTAAATTAGCCTCACTAAAAAACTAGTTTTAAGGTCAGTTCATTTCCTTTGATCAAATGTTCTGAAACATGCAAATCCTTTTAAAACATTTTGAAATATTTTGCTTGAACTATTCAAAAGATATAATTAATGGAAACTACTCTATCGCTGTTTAGAACTGGGGCTAACCATTACCTACATTGAAAACTTCAACTATAAAAGATAAACCGTATCATTTTGTATTTGGAACATATTGTATTATAGGTGAGTTACATCATTAGATGCTTTGTTTGTGGGTGGACCTCTATTTCTAAAATAGTGTCTTGTAATTGGTGTAGAATTTGCTAAAATTAGATAATAGTAACGCCTGATCATTTCAGTCATAAATTGTCTAAAATGACGAGATATTTGATAAAGTAATTCTCCCTTTCGCGGTTCGCCCTTTGAATCAGAACGTTCGCAAATATGCACTGAAAGAGCACTCAAAAAGGACAAAATTTGATTGGTCAATATTTTCCCACTATGCATTTCGCGTAGCTATTTGCGTGACCCGAAAGTTCTAAATCAAACTAATTACGCAATTTTGTTTTTACACCCGCACGCTAAATAAAACAATGTCACCATCGGAAGTGTTCTTCTTTGTCATTGCTTTAATAGTCAGTATACCGAGTTTAATCAATAAAAAATTGGAAAAATTTGGAAACGAGTTCTATAGATTTGCTTTCGGACCACTGAACAGATTGACCTAGATAATAGCGACACGTCTTCTTTGGTCTACTGCTCAGTTGTTTGTGGGTTTTCAACGTAACTCTATAATGTAATTTGAAGATGAATACTTTTATTCAGTTGTTGCATATACATTATATTTATATTTAACATATTGCCAAGTTTTAAGCCTGACTTCAAGGGCAGGCATACTGTTTGGTGAGAAAATTGGAAATTTCATTGATTTGAGATATCTCCAAAGTATGACATTAATATACTTGAATCAAAGGTACTTTAGAGTAGATTGCAAATATTCTATTATCTCTCTTTGTACATCACAAAGTCCATTTGTAATAATTTTGAGATGTCTTCAAATTATTGCTTTATTTTACTGAATTACTCAGATTGAAGGTATTTTAGTAGATTGTGAGTGTGGTATCATATTTATGATTGTAGCCCAATGGATACCAAGAATGGACACCTAAAGGCTGAGATTTGCGCCATTTTGAAATCTTTGATTAGGACTTTATTTTACCCAAATCAACAAAAAGCATGTTTTAGAGCATTTTGTGAATATCATTGTGACACTGTTCAGTTTCATGAAAACTTGAGATTGAAGGGAATTTGGAATTTGCTATTCTATAGAATTGCCTTTTTCTAGTTCTTTTATATAAGAACATTGGTTTTTATGTCACCACCAGAAATTGCTATAATTTCAAATTTTTTTGTGGATGGTGTTCGGTGATTGGTGTTAATCTCGGTATTCGGCATCTGTAACAAATGGTAGGAGGTGATGACATTTTGCCTGTAATGCCTTGTCATTTACTTATCACCCCCATAAAGAAAACTTTTGAAATAGGATACCATTGAGTACTGAAGGTTCAAGGTTACTGAGATTTCAACATCAGTCATGTACTAATAGATATAATGTGCTTTTGGCATTTGGGTTGCACTAGGTCTAGGAGGGTCATGGTTAGTCAATGTCATATTAAAAGGTCAAGGTCATTAATTTGTTCAACCTTTTTACAGAAGCAACAAAGGATTAAGAACATTTGCTTTATTACATGTGGCCATTTTGAATTTTTCTTTGAAACTTCTATAAAACAAAATCCCAGGAAAACAGCTTTTCTATTCAACTTGATTTTGATATCTACTGCAGGGTTCTCACTATGCTTTTAGACTCCGGAGATTCTCCGGAGAGTCTACAGTGTTTTTCACGGAGTGTTATTTTATTTTACATTTGTGTCACATTATTTATGGTAAAACTATTGAGAAAATACATAAAACTGGATACAAACAAGGAACAGGAATTGTGATTAAAATAGGAAGATAATCTTGAGTAGTATTTTGGAAAGTATCCCTTTATAGGATATCTCTGATCTCACATAGGGGAGGAGTAGTCGTGATACCGCGAAAAAACTGGGGTCTAAATATTTCCTGGTGAGAACCCTGTACTGTTTTTATTAGCTCCCATTGTGAGCTATTGGACTATGTCAGTCCATTGTCCGTCTGTCTGTCTATCAACAATAGTGCCATATTTTAAAACTTCTGTAGATAGAATTCTCGTTTTAAGTAATTTTTGTTCAATATCATTAGAGAAAAACCACTATTGACTCCTGGTTAAAAAGCTTGCCTATTTTCAAAATGGCAACCATGTCACTGTCAGTTTTGATCACTTATTTAACTTTAATTCAGCACTTTTGTTATTTTCCAGACTATTACAACTACAAAGACAGAAGTGGGGAAGGAAGGGCTAGATGATCTTTTAGGAGGATTTACTACAGAGCAAACTAATGGCTCAGACTCCCTTCTTAACATGTCTTCCAATGACCAAGCTGTAGACCTGCTTGGAGGAGCATTCATGGTAGAAACCACCAACAAGCAACCAGATTTACTGGCTGGTAATGTTGATATGAATACTGCAGATAGTCCCAATGCTAGTAGTCCCACAACTGCTGATTTACTCGCAGATTTTGGAAATGGTGCAAATGTTGTTGAAACAACAACTACAAAAACTCTTGATGGTGGGGTTGAAGAGACAGTAGTCACAACAACTACAGTTTCAGATGGAAATTCAGATATTTCAGTCACAAAAACCACCACCGAGACAACAGTTGTAGAGAGTAATTTACTCGATGATTTCAGTACCCAAGAAAGTAGTCCCATCGTAGAAAGTAGTCCCAGTACAGATATTTTTGGTGCTAATGAGGAAACAACAGTTACGACCACAACTACAGAGATTACCAAAGATCCTGTTTATGAAAACCTAGATTTTCTGGCATCAACTGAGCCAAAACAAGATTCAACAAAATATGAAGACCTTTTGGTAGATACTCAAGCAACAGGCGAGCCTGGTATGGTTGAACTGACTGAAACACGTACAAGTCCAGATGGTGAGGTATCCCAACAGATAGAAACTACTAGTGCAGATGATACATCAGTGACTATGGTATGTACCACATAAATTTTTAATTGTATCTTCGCTTGATGTAATATGTACCATATACTGTTTACTAAAGCATTTTGATTGGATGCTTTTTATATATGGTTTAATCTTTCACTCATTTAGATCCTGTACCCTCTGTAAATATAAAAGGTACATGGGATGGTCATAACTTTTTGTTATTTGTTATACATAACTTTTCTAGGTACAGCTACACCATTGCTCATATGTACGGAGTATTTTCCAATTTACTGATTTCCTCGTTTTCAATGGCCTCTCAAATTTTAAGGAATGGAGACTTTTAAATATCTTTTCATAGACTGGCCAGGAAAAATCAACCAAACATTCAATGAAAATGTAGAAAAAGTTGTTCAAGACATTATCTCTGCAAGATTATTATTTTGGCCATCACCTAATCTTATACCTTTCTAAGTTGCACATTTGTTTGATGTGTGTGGAATAAGAGATTTGCTGAATGTAAAATTGCAAGTGAATAATTAACAGAATATGTCATTTAATTCTGTGATGTTACCATAAAACATATGTTTGGTAGCACGACAAGTGACTTCAATTAAAAATGTCATTTAACTTCTATTCCATTAAAATATAATTTTTTGTCTTTACATCTAATGTGTAACATATTTGAAATAAATTGTGTGGATGTGATTCTCTAGTAAATCATATAGCATCTGTGACACAGAAAATCAGCCAAATCTACAATTTGAGACACCAGATCTATGTTTTATGGACACCTATGACACAATTATAGATCATACATTTGTGAGTCAAGAACATCTGTTACACATGATCAGACATTTATATTTAAACACACCCAGTCATTTGAATTAATACCATAGATATAACACATTAATTTTCATATCTGACGTTGTCAAATCAATCTTTGATGTAACCAAATTTGTCATCCTAAGTTGGCATTGGATGGATATATGGTACAGGTTCAAACAAGTATTTTAAGACAAGTTGTTTATTTATTTAGTTAATAAGGATTGATGTGAGATGTTTTGCTTGCTATCTAACAGAGAGAAAAGAGGATTTTGATAACAATTTGTGTTCATAAATATTCAAGATATCATTCCATAGACTAGTTTGTTTCATATATTTTGGGGAGTATACTTAGGGATAAAGATGAAGGACTTTAGATGTGTCTCAGATGCGCCCCTGCTATACAAATTCAGAAGAGACAGCAATGAAAAATCTGATGATTCAGACAGCGATGAAGTTCAACAAGAACAACTTCATAAAACATTGGAGGAATTTCATAAAAACTTAGAACATTTTGAACAATCGTCAGTTGAAACTTGTGACAATAGAAATTATGTTCGTAACACTATTCGCCGTGTATTTTCTGATACAGCTGCAATGGAAACTAAAAGACAAACCCCCATGCAGGCAATAGACCTTGTGAAGCCCTACAGGACTAAACCAGTGAAGAAAACAACTCTGAAAAGAATGGAGAGCTGTCCAGCTCATATGACAACCATTGGGCATGCTACAGGGAAACGTGTGTCATTGTTCAAATCCCAATATTTAAATGGTTTACATCAGAGTGATTCCATGACAACCCCAAAGGGAAATCTTACCAATATTAACGGAACTTATGACAATCTGGAGTGTCCCTCTTGTAACCAACCATTGTGTACATCATGCAGTGAAGAAGTTCAACAATCAGAAGGTGTCAAGGAACAAGCATATGGATGTATTAGAAGACAGAACAGTACTAGTCTTATTGAAATGTTTAACAAACATGGTGATAAAGGAGTTGGATCAGGCAGCAACAACAATAGTCAAAAAGACATTAAAGAAGACATTATTGACTTAACCAATATGGACTTAATCAAAAGGGTTGCTAGCAAAATGGAACAAAATGGGACACATAAAAATGGAATGATGAATGGTAAACATTCCTTACATGAAATCCAAAAGTCAAGACTTAGGGAAACAAGAGAACTTAAGAAAATATTTCCTACAATTGATAATGTTAAATTGTTCACATATGGAAAACATGACAAGGGAGTTGCTAGAAAAATTAGGATGGATTCTTTTGCTTTACGTAATGGTTCAAAATGTAATCTTTCTGTAAGGAGACCAGATTGTTTGGTAGGTAACACAGTGATTTCTTGCATCATGCTTTGATATTGATACTGGTTTTGAATTCATCCTACTATAACTGAGTTTGTTCTCCTTTGTTATGAACTGCACTTAATGAAATCTAGTGGCATTTTATATGTAATATTTATAAAAGATTTTTCAGTGCAGTTCTTTGCATCCGTTTGTTTGATAATTAAGGCATGTATCTAAAGCATGTAATAACTTCATACTAGGTTACAACAACAACAACAACCACTTCCATAGCAACGGATGATGTTGAACACATTGATGACAAACAAGATATTGAAGAATCAGATATTCAGAATGAGTCAATATATGTCAATGTGGAGCCAAACCATCAGAATGAGATATTAAACCAAGATGACCCTATTCAACAGGAAGATGAGAATAAAGAGAATGTCCCCGAAGCAGAACAAGAAGAGGATGATGATACAGAATATGTCTTAGTACAGACAGATGATGGAGAATATAGGGTGCCATTAGATGTTGCTCAAAAAGAATTTGGACTTTTCATGGATGAAGGTGTTGAACAGGAACTAGGTGTTGATGAATCTGGTCAGGAATATGTCATTGAGTACATTGAAGAAGAAGATGCTCCAACGAGTGTGAGTTTGTTATTTGATCATCTACTTTGGGACACTGAGGTGGAGGAGTTATAATAAAAATATAATTGTTGTCATATGCTGGTGTGGGACTCTAATCTATCTTTGTTAACCCATCATAATGTCACATAATTAATATACTATTTTGCCTGGATTAGTTTGGCTATATTTATATTTAGCTTGTAGCGCATGCATGGGAATTAGGTAGAATGCATGCATAGATCAAATTGCATTTATGTAGTATTGAATGCTTTTATTTATTTTTATTTATTTGCTTTTATTTCACCCATGTATGTATTATAGATAGGTATCTTTGGTTAACCTATTAACGTCAAATAACCAGCCGTTCCAAAAAATTAATAAATGAAGAACTGGTAACCAATCATCAAAAATTATTTTCTTTTACAAAGTTGTTGATTTTCTTTCTCAGAGATATTTCTTTTTCTTTTTGACGTTTCGTAGGATGTCCATCCTAATTACATTTAATGTAAAAGAAAATCAACAACTTTGTATATTACTACCAGAGAGATGAACATTCATAGAAGTATTTTCTTTTATTTCTTGTATGTGTTCGTCTCATATGCTGGTAAGAGTATACCAAAATGCAACAAAAATACGAGGGTATATCATAAAGTTCTCATAATATCTCTCTAGTTTTTTTTATTTTTCAACATATTCTCATGAAATTTTCATAGAATCTGCAGTATAGAATACTGTATTAATCTATCAAGAAATATTTGGTATAACAGAAATATTAGATAAGTAATGGTTGCCATAGTAACCGGAAATCAAGGCACCCGGGGCAAATAAAAATAATTGAGATATAATGAGCTTTATTAACCTTGTTTACATACATAAAAACTCTCATAAATTATCAAACACATTAAAATGTTATATTGAATATGTTGTTAAATGCTTTTACTATAAAATAAATTGATCATGTGAATTGTGTGATGTCATAGGGGATGCTTACATGCTTCATTAGATGTGATACCAGACTCTGAGAACCAAAGCTTAATTATCAGAAATGACTGAGTTAGATAATGCATAGATGCAGGGGTCATCAGAAAAATAATATTCATACTGATAAAAAGTTAAGTTTAGTTCGAAAAATCCTTTGCTCATACTTAAGATGATCTAAAACAAATATGTTGCAAAGATATCAACACAATTACACCCTATGCGTGGTCTATTATTTATTTAAGATGAACTGAAGTGGAATCGAATTTTCTTGGAATAATTGACAAAACAGTTGTAGTGTCTGACATCACTTCTAATGAGACATTACAATCATCCATTATGAGATCACAAAATTCACATGACCATTATAATAGTTCAAAACAGTCAAGAATACATGGTGTTTAACAATTTGATGTGTTACATAGCTTATTTGATAACTTATTATGCATTTAAACATGGTTAGTTGGGGCTATTCTTGCACGATTTTTTATTTGCCCCGGGTGCCTTGATTTCCGGTTACTATGGCAACCATTTTATAAATAATATTTCTGTTATACCAAATATGTTTTGATAGATTAATGCAGCATTGTATACTACACATTCTGTGAAAAATTCATCAGAATATATTGAAAAATAAAAAAATTAGAGAGATATTATGAGAACTTTATGATATACCCTCGTATGTTGAAAATGCCATTACTCAGTATAATTCATTAATCTATCTAAGCTATGTATTTCCAAAAGTGAAACATCACAAAATGTATACTTGCAAATTATTGTTATTACATGTATATGCTACAACATGGAGTCACCTATTTTTAAATGATTTTTGTTAAGTCATATAATGATAGTAAGTCAACAGTGAGGATTTTACGCTAATCCAATAGTTCAAGAAAGATTAATACTTATAGTTGTAATTTTGCTTCTCGTATGTATATTTTTGTTGCATTTTGATTAATCAAATATTAGAAAGAAGTATGGAAAAATGAAAAATTCTTCATTCAGAGAACAAAAAAAATATTCTTCTGCAATTAATTATGATTATAAAAGCTATCTGATGTGATGAGTGAACTTGAAAAATTGTATTTTAGTTTTCACGATAATAAACATTCTTAATCCTCTGCTCTACTATACCCGAACACGAGGGATCAGAATTTTCCAGCCTCATGAAAAATGGTTGTATGAAGGCTACTGTATATACTCAGGGAAAATAAAAGAGATTGTCTTTCATTGACCATGTTTATAGACTTCATAAGATAGATGATGTTTACATGCTTTATTACATGTGATACTAGACTCAGAGACTCGATGATCTAAAATGTTTGATTAAGATATGCAATAGATGCAGATTTTATCAAGACAACCACATAAAATGACTATATAAAACAACTATATGGTGATATTAACAAAATCACACGCCTTGAGTCAGGTCTGGAATCAAAAAGCAGTCAAGGAGTCTCGACATCACATGAAGCATGACAAATATCCTTTGTAACATCACACAATTCACACGACCATTATAATACATAAAAACAGTTAACAGCACATAGTATTTAACATTTTAATCTGTTCTATAGCTTATTTGATATTTATACATGGTTAATTTTGGTCATTCTAGTAAGTTTTTGTTATTTGCCCCAGATTCCCTGATTTGGGGTTGCTATGACAACCCTTCTAATAAGACATTTCTGTAACACTAAATATTTTTTGCTGGATTAATAAGTGACTGTAAGTTGCACATTCTTTCAGAACTTTATATAGTTTTATATGCTAACTATTCTAATAAACATTGTAACAGCATGCACGAGTATGTAAGATGACTTTTATATATTTTGAAACAGCATGGTTTGCAAGGGTGTTTCTGGCACTGACATGTATGTGTAATTAGTTGTTATGTCTTCATGGAACAATCTTATCAATTTTGCATGAAGCATTCCTATGCATGAAACCTTTGTGCTCTATCTTTCACTCAATTCGAGCTGATTCTTACTGCAACTTAAGGAAAAATAGGATTTAGTTTTGGAAGTATGGGGAAGATATGGAAAACTGTGCATTTTTGGATGGTAGTTGAACATTATTTTGGATGTCTATATATTCATGTGAACCTTCTGGTTTGGAAATGTTGTACAGATTTATGGTTTATTGTATGTTAGTATGTAGAAGAATGAAAGTTAATATGATGTTTGTTTGTTCTTTGTAGATTAAGGAAGCATCAACAGAACAATATGAGCATGTTACTAAGGATCAGGGTGAGTATAAACCCTTCTTTTGGAATTAGGTTTTATGGGAATGATTCACATGTAGACCAATTATGATATTAATATCATTTGTGTAAGAAATATTAAGACAAGCATCGCATTTTCCCTAGTTAGATATATCTACCATGTATATAAATATTTAGACCAGTGCCACAATCACCCAAATGGGATCTAAAGAGATACACCTTACTAGAATATTATAAAATGAGAAGTAATGTTAATATCTTTTGTACAAATTCATCATTTTGATTTTCATTGATGAAGTTTTAATTTAATAAAGGATCATTGAATATGAGTTGATTTAAATCACAAATGTCTTTTAGCTAGACTTTGAATGGTAATGGCAGCCTGAATTAGAAGATATCATGTGCATTAAATTATATACAATTCATTGAGTCATATGCTTTATTTATTTCTACATTTAGCAGTGTATTTTGATATGGGTAATCTAACTTAGGGCAACTTGTCCATTTAATATGACCAGTCTCTGTTTTCCACTTAATGACCCCTGGATGTCAATAGATTCAGTTCATATGATTCTCTTTTGCAGAAGCCAGTTCAGTTGCTGAAGAGAAGCCAGTCCCAGTGGTCCAGGCAGAGATTGCTGCAGATCCTGAACCACAACTCCAGTTGCAACAACCTGAAATCCAATCCAGGGAGCCAGAGGTAGAGACAAGGGAGCCAGAGGTGCAAACAAGGGAGCCAGAGGTACAAACCAAGGAGCCAGAGAAGCCAGTTGAAAGTTTTGAAGATTCTCTCCCTGATTATGTTCCACCCAAGCGCTATGTGAAGCCAGAGGAGAGTGACAATAAGGGGCCTTCTGTGTTCATCCAGGTTGGTAAATTGCATATAACTGACCCTCTGTCTTGCATTGAATGCTGAATATATTGATGTTTTTAAAGACCTTGTTTGGGTGTGTGTTGCAATTTGGGAAACCTTTGACTCTGCATCTGAACTGTTCTTCTATTTTGTTTATTTTGAATGGCATGAAATTGATGTTGATAATTGTCAAAAGTATTATTACTAGGAAATTTATCTTCATTTATTTATTTGCTTCAAAGGTTGCTGTGAATTTTCCAAACTCTTTAGCCATGGGAGTAAGTTTTCATTTTGGTGCTTTAAAGGAATATTCCTTGTCAGACCCTTTCTCTCTTGATATGGTAGCTATCATATATATAGTTTCCATATTTAGCATAACATGGGAAAATGTTTTAATATGGTCAATATTGATCATTTAAAAATCTAGTGCTTATTTCCAGTGAGCTGCCATCTTTTAAGGTTTCTTGCAGGAAGTGATGTCATCAACTCTCAACTTCTATAACCTTGCCCATAACAGTATAGGAAAGTAGCACAAAATCACTTCTAGACAAGTGATAATTACTTTCTGTACAAAAATATTTTCAGGGCTTGTCAACTTAGAATAAAAGAAGAGATTTTCAGAAGGATTAAATAAGATACAAAGTTGAAAAAAAATATTTAGCTGGTTTTGTAATTCTTAATAGCTCCTCACCTAATGCTATATGCAAAGTTGAGAGTCGATGACATCACTTCCTGTGTGAAATTTTAAAAGATGGCAGCTTACTGGAATTGAGCATTACATTTTTAAGTGATCAAATTTGACCATATCAAAACATTTTTGCATGTTTTGCTCCACATGGCAAGCATATATATGGTTATAGCTACCATATGAGGAGAGCGATGGTTTGGCAAGGAATATTCCTTTAATACAACATTTATAAGTTCACTGTGATTGTACTGATAGTCACCATGAAAAGCTTTATCTGTTGCAAGACTTTTAATTTCATATGCATTTATGTTAATGTATCAATTTCATTAAATAGATATTTCAATATTACGTCTACACATTTACAATTAACCAAGTGCGACATGTTTTTTAGCCTCCAATTTATATATTTTGAATCAATACATATGTTTTAATCAGTGATAATGTTATGCATTCAATACTAGCATTTTCCTACAAAAAATATTTGATAAGAAATTATATGAACCATTCTAAAATTGAGGCAAATTGAGACAAGGTTATTTTGGTTCATATGAATCACATTTATATATTCATGATCTAATGTTTTGTAAAAGTAATGTGAATCTTTATCAAAAGCAGATTCTACATCAAGAAAGGTTGCACAGAGGATTTTGCACACTAACCTTTTGCAACTACAGTAATCTGATATTATAACATATATGCATATAGTCATGTTGATTTGAAACATCTTAAATTTTTCAGTGCTTCAATTCTTTTCTATAAGGTTTCAATAGATACATAGGAGGACCTCTATTTACTTGAACATTATTTATGCCTCTTAACTAAATAAGTTCAAACCTCACTGGTATTTTCAGATTGGATTGCTTGTTTTCAAGTATCAAATTGTCCTTTTGGAATATTCAGATTTCTATTATATTGATTCTGTTTGAATCATCTAGATATAATGCTTCAAACCTCCTGTTGTAGCTTTAGTGATATAACTATTATTAAAGTTTTTTCTGGCAGCCATTTTAGAAGTTTTTATAGATAATTTTGTCATCTCCATTCTAGGAAAACTGCTCATCTGATTTCCTTCATTTTGCACATTTGGGATGACACCAATTTCGACTGTTCATTAATGGGATGGTACCAATTTCTACTGTTCATTAACTTTTGGGTGGCTACTTGGTGGTGTGACTTTGATTACAACATGAGTTCAATATTTGGTTGCATTTTGAAAACAAGTTTCCATTTGATGTTTGTTACTCTCAATATTTGATGAACCATCTTTGTTGTAATATTGAAAGTTGAACTGTCATTTTACATTTCGACTACTTAGTGGAAAGCAACGAGTGATCTTGTTGATGTTTTATAGGTATATATGCCTAATCAGCAGAGAATTAAAAAGCAATGAATTCGATTAATGTCTGCTGGTTAGGACGAGATAATCAATTTATTACATTCTTATTGTCTAATATTATTTTGGAATGGAGGGATATATTATAGTGAATATTCTGTTGTAAAGCTTCGCAATTAAGTTCACTATAATTATTGTAGATAAGAGTTAAATATTATCTCTTTTAGTTTAGTTTATTTATGCAAATACAAATCTACACAATTTGCTCTGTATGATGAAAAAATGGATTGATTCAGAATATATTAATATTATGACATCAAGTATTTGCATTCTTAAATGGATCTAGCAGAATATTTCAATTGATTCATAGTTTCAAAGACCAGTGTTTCAAAATCTTCAGCCAAAACTACAAGGAATATGAAAAATAGACTTGTATAAAAGTATTTTAAATTCTCTTAGCATGAGTTTTTTCTTAATTTCTATTTGTTGTATGTGGCAGACTGCATTGTTTCTGCCTGAATGTTGTTGAGTTAGTGTTTAGATTTATAGTTATTACATAGTAGTAGTGCATCTATCCACCCATATAAAGGACCTGCTAAAACATACACTTTATTTTCACATGCAGTTTCACATAAGTGGGTGATATTCTTAGATAATTTATGGAAGATTCAAATACATTAATATTTATTTTCTGTTTTATTTGGGGACATTTAAAGAATTTCATTCATGCATTTCAAACTGATGCAGGGTAATAAAAGTTGGTACAATCATTCAAAAAATAGTTTCAAGCAATAAACCCTGCATGTTGCAATAAAGTGTATGTGCAGTGCCCTCTATTAGTGTGAATTAACATCTTGTTTGTTAACCCAGGGGAAAAGCACGGAAACTTCTAACAAACCCTCCAAACCTGCCTCTCAACCAGTCTCACGTAAAAATGCAACTGTTGTGCCATCTGGTGAGAATGAGAAGGTGGAGGTCTCAAGTGGTGACTCTCTGACGGAGTACTCCAAGGAGCCTTCTCAACCTTTTGGGGGGCTCCTCCAGCAATGGAAGTCGAACACAAAAATTGAGAGTTCTGTAAGTGACGAGCCTGTGACGTCACAAAAAACTATGGCTACTGTGACGCAAATTCAACCACCAAATTTGGCGCAGGTTTGCACCCTCTTAGCTTTGCTGGTCTATTAAGGCCTCAACATATGATCACAAAGTCCCTTTATCATTTCAAACTGATTCTGATTCACATAAATTATCTATTTATTTACATATATCTCGTATATACATGTATACATACAGGTAGAATGGCAAATGAATTATGTTTTGAGCCAGTAGCAGAAATATCAGTCTCATAATATATCAATTTGTTTTTAGACACATAAACTTACCACAAAACACAAAGAATATGATATTTCACCTCTCATTTAATGCTAATTTCTGCTTCAATGTGGTGTTTGAAGCTGAGGCTTAAAGCTATGTCTGTGTAGCAATCATTTTTAAGATTTTTCTCACTAAATTTTAAAACAGAGAAATCAAAAATCTCATGCTTTTTAAATTCCAAATGATCCAAATCCCAGAATGTAATTCTCACCCTCAATTACCTTAACTTTTATACAGTTGAACAGAGTTTGGGAGATATATATCTCTGTTTTATGTGAGGACAAGTTCTGTTCAAAAATTTGGAAGTAATACAATATATTCATTGATGTTTTTTGTTTTAAAACATGCAAATTTTGGCAATACATTGGTTGTGGCCATTTTGAGACATACTCCCCTGTAGTGTTGTCTGACACTCATTAGATGTTAGATGGGATTTGCTTTGCCTTTGCATTGCAGTTATCTTGTTAATGTACACATATAAATAACTTGTGAAATTTGTGAATTTGCATTAAATGTCACTCAAAATTGAAACTTCTGGTTTGGATTGAGTCAGAGTCTTGTGAATTGGCCAGATATGTCAATTTTTGGTTTTCATTTATAATGATCTTTGGCTCAGACCCTTTCAGGATGAGAATTACAGAGACTTCTCTTTTAAGCTTGCTTTAAGTTATTTCCAAGCTTTGTGATCATTTGTTGATAAATAAATGTAATAAATGAAAATGTGATAAATAATCAATTTAAACTTTAATTTAATTTATTTAATTTTTAATGGATGCAATCAAAGTTTTGTGAGGACAGAAGACATGTGCCATGAACACATTGTTGTATATCACTGATCAACTTAACCCTCTCAACACGACCTTCTCAACACGACCCTCTCAACACGACCCTCTCAACACACTACACATCAATTCTTTCCTGTCTGAATCTGAAATTCTCCTAATTTTGATAGTCTATAAGTAGCCGCAAATAACAGACTTTCAAATGTTTGAAGCAATCTTTTAACATGCCAGTGTTTCCCATATAATCATAATTATCACATCGAACGAAGTTTACCTGCTAGTGTTTATGTTTATGTTTATGTTTATTTATTATTTAAAATACACACGAAATACAATATATGAACTGGGTGACACTTTAAAAAGTGTATATTCCCAATATTAGGCAAAAATAATACATGTGTGTTGTCATACCTATTAAATGCAGTTGGGGACCTGCCTATGTATTCATCTATTTGAACGAAAGTATTGATTTGTCACATCATAATAGACCAAATGAGATAACGCTTTGGCATAATGTCAAAAGTGTTCTTGAATACAAAAATACCAATGAGTGCAAATATACTTACAATGTAGTTTGAACATTATTTGGAACAGAGGCAAAATCAGGGGGTACAGCAGAGCTTAAAGGAAATATAAGTCAGTTTAGTAAAAATAAACAACAACAACAAAAAACACAAAAACAACATAACTGTATGTGATTGAAATGTTACCATATGGGTCAGATATACTGAGCAATCATATTGAGAGCAGTTTTGTTCTTCGAAGAAACCAAAAGAGCATCCAAAAGAGCATACACGAGAGAAAGCATGATAAGGGCAATGGGTGATAAAGAGAAAGCAAAATATCAATTGAGTTAGTATGTTTCCAAAAATAGTTTTTTTAGTTCTCTTTTAAATGAATAGAGGCTTTTTATCTGTTTAAGTCTTTCTGGTAATTTGTTCCAAAGCTGGGGTATTGAAATGGATATAGATGATTTACAGTGTAAACTCTGTGGTATATATCACTATAATATTCAAATACTTTAAGACAAAGATGCGTTGGTATATATCACTATAATATTCAAATACTTTAAGACAAAGATGCGTTGGCTTATTTAGTTTTCCCCCCATCTCCTCAACTCCAAGCAAACTCTTTCAGAGAACAGATGCACCTAGAAAAGTACCAAGTTTCTTCCTTCCTATGATTAATTCATTGCATTTCTCTCATCTGATATAACTTATTTTATTATTCATCACAAGTCATGTAAAATCTGCAATATTCTCATGCTATAGTAATTGCATGGCTGGAAATAATCAACAAACCTAAACTTATCATTTGCGTAATGGATGGTTATAAGAAATATATGTGCAATATATATCAGGTATTTGTTCAAGAAACTAAAATATTGAAATTACTGTATTAATTGTTGTCTAATAGTGACATATTGATTTGGTATAAATATTTTTACATTGCTTCTCCCCCTGATATAGAAAATTGCCTTTGCATGGGTATCTATGCGTATGTTCATTAGCGATATTTTGGTATACATAAAATTGCAACTGTTGTCCATGCTATAACTACAAAGTTCAATTAACTGAAATTACATTTTGCTTTAAACATGTAAAATCATCATATACTGTATTCCTGTAAAATGAAATAGATCAATTCAAGTAGAGATAATTACTTCTTTATTTATATTCCTTCTATATATTGTTATGGAAATCACAATGTAACATCAGGAGATTTATAAATATGCTACAGTGTATTAGATTTTTGTTTTAAATCTGTATTTTAGTTATTGCTTACATGGTAGTTAGATCACTCACCAATAACATCCATTTTATAGATGTTTGTAGTTTATACAGTACAACTAGGACTAGGGATTTGACTATACAGCAATGTGTTGTCATGAATTCTTCCAAGGAGGATTGATTCCCAGCATTATTTTATGATCTTTTTTTGACTGGCATGGAACAATGCTTGGTAATATTACTATAATGTTCATATCCAGACAAAGTATTTTGTCAGGAGATGAACATTATGGTAATATTTTTGCTTGTCAATCCTAGGATCAATCCTTCTTGGAATCCAGCTAAACATTTGATATCTTTATATCTTTCAAATTTAGACTTTGATTTATTATTCTTTAATTAGATTATATAACTATACATTGCTGATAATCATTTCCCTGAATATTCTATTATACTAAATGCTTTTGCTTAGTCCTCAATGTGTCTTAGTGGTATTTTGTTTCAGTTGATAACCATGCATTTATTCTGAATTTGCATCTTTTAAAGGGTATATCAATTTTACTGGGTCTCAACATATAGGAATTTATTACACAGCCACTAACAATACTTTTTTGTTGAAACCCAATGCTGTTTTGGGCAAAGCTAGTATTATGTAACAAAAACAAAAAATGAACAAGTAATATTGCAGCCTGATTATTAGCTCACGACTAATTAATACTCAGTAATAAATATTGCTCATGCATGCTTGCACATTTGGAAAACTGATACTGCTTCATTGCATATTGCAACAATAGTAATGGAAATAACAGTTTCATTTCAGTCTATTCATGGGTAGTTTTCAAGGGATTACAGGCACTGTGTGCTTTTGCACACAAAGTATACAGTGAGGAGCTGTAATCTCTTGGCTACTGCACATGTAATATTACAAAGGTTCTACCAACTGCATTTGGCTGCTGAATGTACATGGTATGGTACAAGAGGCAAGGAAATGGAAAGAAATAAAATATTTTCCTTTTTTCTCAAACATTTAGTCGTCTTTTTATTTCACTTTTTTATACTAACTTTTTATTTCTGTATGAACATCTTAACATTGCACTTAATGGGGGTTGTCATGGTTTATTTTGTATACACTCCAAAAATTCACTTTAGAGAGTGCTATTTTTGCATTTCACAGTTATTGCACCTTACAGTTTGGACCATAAATGAAGTGAGGATTTTCCATGTTAAAAATAAGAGAATTTTCAGGAGGCCATACATCAGTGGATGAGAGTATACAAAATGTAAATAAAATATACAAATGTTTGGGGACATGTATCTAGACAATATTAGAAACTATGAACTTTCAAACCACCATGGTTTGGAAATGGTGATAGAAAATTGATTTAAATCATTTATTTATGGTCCAACTTGTAGTTCACCTCAGTGACAAAGCTGAAACTCATCACCGAAACATCACTGCGCATACTGCCACTTTTCATTTCCTTTTATAGTCTTTTACTTGTGCACAAACGTCAAATTCAAAAGAAGTCCCACATACTTTCTAATTTTTGCCATTTCTGGCAAACAGTTCTATTAATATTGATTCTCATGTATATTGTGATATATTGGGAATTTGAAAGTGGTGGATTGAACGATGAAGATGGTGTACTGCAACTTATCTCTATTTTTCATAGATATCATGGTGTCTGCAGTTGGGTAAAATATTTAAAACATATTTATAAAGTGAAGCTGACCCAGCTACTCCTTCCCTATCATGTTTGGGGGTAAGGAATATTCAATGTGTCACATATTTGTTGGTTAACAGTGATTTAATATGTTTATCTAGGGAGGAGACAGCATGTGTAAGGTTTGTGGTAAAAGGGTCTATGAGATGGAGAAGCAGATAGCAGACAAAGCAATCTACCACAAGTCTTGTTTCCGCTGCAACCATTGCCACAGGGTGTTGGGGTAAGCAGCCATTACTTCAAAAATAAACAGGCATCTTATCATTTCAACTGTCAGCATTGTAAACTAAAAGCAAAATGTTCATTACTTTCACATTGAAAATACAATTTTAAATTTTAGTGGTCTACAATTGAATAAAATAAACTTAATACATTACCACTAACAGTAGATGTCTTACAACCATCGATACAGGAAGATATAGTTAAGTCCTATGTCTGTCAGTATTTCCTGTATAAGATGTGTTTTTGGTCTGGCCCTAGGGGGTGTGTAAGGGATGGATAAAAGAGGAACTTCTGTTATTTTGAGACCTCCATGAAAGAGTAGGTTGCAAATATTATACCATTTTTCAGATGAAACATTAATTGTATCTTTTTTTCAACCTATGACCCAGGTTTTGTATTTTCTGCCTATTCAACAGTTTTTGACAGGTAGATTTTGAATATCAACAGGAGATTTTAAACATTACCTACCTGAGTATTATGGTGTAGGGGAACAATCGATGCCATGCATTATGGATATACATATAGCATGTGAAATATCTGAGCATATGTAGCTGATAAGTTTTTTTTTATTATTATTGTTAGAAAATGTCATGCTGATTTCTATATCAAAAATAACCATCATACAGACAAGATATTAATCTATTAGTGTATTATAATAAATCTGTGTTGAATGGTATAAAAATATTTAATTCTATTGAGGTGAATACCTATGCATCTTTCACAAGCAATATTGCCCAAAGCCTGGAAGGCTAGGGGAATATTCATGTCAACACAGGTATTCAGCAAAAATAGAATGAGATATATGTTTTATTATTCATTGTTAATATTCCTCTTACCATTAAATGCAAATCAGCTTACCTTTTATGGCAGAGTTGTGGGAGAAATTTGAATTAATGCCAGGTGATTCGCTCCTGCTGCTATATCCATATACATGTATTATATCCATTCATGGATAAAAATCATATTACTCAGAAGTCATAGGATATTATCTATTTATTTCCTAGTCATATGTATTACATAGACCAATCAGAGAGTGAGAGTGAATATGACAGTGATATTATAATCATCTCTATTTTCAGACTGGGAAACTATGCCTCATTGGAAGGACAACTTTTCTGCAAGCCTCACTTTATTGAAATCTTCAAGTCGAAAGGTATGCTGCTTTTGATATAGATAAGCAAAGAATAGTAAATGTGTCCTACTTTGCAGTTTGTTCCTGCATTAAGGACTTAATGTTCTCATAGACATGTATAAGATATTTAAGCTTATATAATGTGCATTTTATGCGATATGATTTCTGGTGGTTTTACGCTTATTAAGCTTAAGAAGCAGTGGAATTGTTATTTATATTGAATGATGCTTTTACTCTCATGATTTCAGGCAATTATTCCAATGAGGGATTCAGTAGGCAACTTTTTAGTAAATCTCTTGAAATGAAAAGTAGTACTAGAAGAATCAAGATACCCTCTGTAAATAAAAAAAATAGTGCATGGTCCTTTATCAGTCATAGCATTTTCAACATTCTGTTTAATTATAGTAAACTCTTAGAATTGTATAAACATGTTTAGTACAAGTGGCTTGAAACTTGAAATGAAGAAACAGGTTTATAAATGCAACTTAATCGTAAGATTGAAAATTGATGCATATTGGTCAACTTTCACAATACAATTGTGTGATCATGCGTGTATCTGATCCCCCATAGTGGACAATCCCCCATCGTGGACAAGAATTTTTAACATTTCAAAAAAAATTAAAAAGACCCCAAAACTCTAAGTCACATTAGTACTACAAGAGTTGTGATGAAAACATAGGTCGTAATCTAGGCCTTATCAAATTTTTTAAATTTCTGACACTACCCTTTTTTTATTTTTCTTATCCATGAGGTCCATGATAAACAAACAGTCACACTAATGATTCAAACCTTTCTCACTTTCACCATGTTATGTTTGGTCAAAGTATCCATATTTATTATGCACCTCATTAAAATACTCAAATCTGATTGGTTCTTAGTTGCTTGTAATTTGGCAATACTCTGCTCTTTTCTGAAAACTGCTGGATATTTTTTTAATATCTGACCCTTTCGAGAAAAAGGGTCGGATATTTTTTCAATGTTTTTGCAACATTCCCACTTCAGAGTTTTATTTCTTAATAACTGGAGTACTACTTAAAGCTTACATCTGAAACTGGCGAAAAATAGAAGAAAAAAATGCACTTAATCAATCACAATTACCCTTATCATTCAAAAGTTACATATAATTCTGCAAGAACGTCTCGAATAAATAAAAATTAAATTCCCGGGGCAAATATTTTCGTCCAGTGTAGCGAATAAAGTGGCTGAAAGTTGTCTGAGTTTTGAAAGAAAAAATAAATAAATGTCAAAATAATGTCAACTAAACGACAGTTTAAGCCTGTACTCCAGTAAGTACTCCACTTAACTTTGATTGGGAGGTGCATAATAAAACAAATACTGGATGATCAGGAGCTGGATATGGCCAGAATACCTATCCTCGAAAAAATATTGGGCTCGGCTGCCGCCTCGCCCAATATTTTTTCTCGAATAGGTATTCTGCCATATCCAGCTCCTGATCATCCAGTATTTGTTTAATATTATACCTCTGAATGTTTTGATTGGATAATGTGAAAAATGATTAATCAAGCACCATAAACCCTTTTCAATTTACAGAGGGTAGTCCATATATGCCATATTAAGCACAGTGTACTTCAAACTTTGAATACATCCCAAGGTCATTTGAATAAGCACCTGTATAATATGCAAGAATTTTATATCATCAAGGATAGATACAATATGTGGTGTAAAAATATTGCCCAGAGTATAGTGGTGCCTAATGTGGAGTATATGGTACTCGAAAATTTGAAATTGCATGTAAGGACAATTATTTGTACTCAAATTTTTTTCCAAAGATTACGTTTGTGCATTGTCGAAATGAGCTGTAAAATAATGAATTAAGTCACTGAGTGGTGAAATGTCTTTCAGAGAGAAACATTTTCAAAGAATTATCACATTCTTAATTTATAAGTTTTATTTTGGAGAAATCCATAGTTTACAATCAATAGATCTAGTTAATTTTTTTTTAATAATTTCCCAATTTGATGCTTATCATAGATCTACTTTGAGTTGATTTTGTAACCTGTTCGACCTAAGTATGTATATAGGCATTTGCTGACAAACAGTTTCTAAGACATTTCATCCATGTGCATGTTGGGATTCCAGGCCTAAGGTACGCAATGCAACATGTCGAACAGGAGAGAGGAAAAACAGATGCTGATTGGTTTCGCTGGTCACTACAATTTGTCAAAACTCCAAGTATATCTCAGTCTTATCTTGCTGAAACAAGATGCATTGAAATCATCGTTTGATTTGAACTGAAAATTTCATCGCAGTTGTAATATTTTCTCAATTCATTGTCTGCTTTGGTTACGAATTAATTTGACGTGTTTGACATTTTTTGTGTAATGATGTTCCTCACATTGTTCACAGTGTAAAGCCTTACCGCACCGGGGTTTAACCCAATTTTAACATCAATCAGTTTGGAGGAATATAGAGAATCCCTCTGCAGTCTGTACATCTGTACATCATTTTTCCATCTCAATACTGTTGGTCTGGTGTTGCTTTTGCTTTAAACAGACATGTTGACATGTTTTGTACATTAATGATTTTTGAACTTCAGTACCACAATGTTCACAATGTCCAGTTTCTCCCTCCAGATTATTGTCTATGTATTAGTGTGAAATTTTAAAGTTAATTATATAGAACTACTTGAAAGCACAATACATTGTCACCTGACATTTTCCTTGATAAGTTGGCCATTTTGAAAAAATGGTGGCAGTTTTTATGTTTGTAATTTTACATTTTTTCTACAACTCAAAAGGTAATACTTATTCTTCTCTTGTCTTGAATTAAAATTTTATCGGCACCTAAAATTCTTAGCTAATAGCTACCTACTTTTTCAACTCAATTATTCTTTAAAAAGATCAAAAAATTATGACAAAAAATTGTGAAATTCAAATTTCAAAAAGTAGTTTTTGTGAAAGAAGGATTTTTGCTGCTCTGGTGCGATTTTAATGTGTCAAGAACTAGGTAGAATGCAGTGGGTTGAAGCTGGGAACGTTACGGCTATACACTGTGTTGTTGAAACAATCATGGAAATGTTACGGGTATACACTGTGTTGTTGAAACAATCATGGGAACGTTACGGCTATACACTGTGTTGTTGAAACAATCATGCACTTTCAAACCTTTATGTGTTATATTCCAACTAAACATGTGAAAGCTGAATCCTTGGCTGCAATCCTTTCATGTATCAAAATCGCTTTTTGAACATCCATTGATGCTTCGCTTTGTATCCCTACTACTGGATAAAGTATGTATAGTGATTGGTGATACTGTTGTCTTAGTCATATCTGATCATAATAATAGAGACAACAAATTGCCAAAATTGTATTTGACCATTTAACAAATACAAACATATATATAAGTATTTATTAAATGTCATACTATGCATTGTATTCTAACCATATATAAGATTGCATTATGATTTTGCAGGACCTTTTGAATGTCATACATAGGTTTCCCAGTAATACATGAATTGTAAAATTACATGCAAGGAAAAAATAATTAAGAATTTCATGTATCACTAATTATCCCAACGAACGTAGTTTAAGTAGGGATATAGAAAAGCCATCCATCCTGTCCAATCAATTGTCCTTCCGTATGTACGTCTGTACAAACATCTGTCCAGATGATAACTTAAATATGTTTGATGGATTTACTTACAAGATCTCGTTAAACTATGGCTTTATTATACTGAAATTGAAGTATTGCAAGTTATTCGTTTGTTGGGATTGCCACTCAGTGGAGTTTTCTAGTTTATGTATGACATTCTGGATTAAGATTGCTACAGCCATATGTAATGCAAAACTTGCATGTTTATTTGTGTGTTTTTACTAACAACTAAAGGTAATTATGACGAGGGGTTCGGTCGTGCTAAGCATTCAACACACTGGGTAGAACCTTCTACTAATAAAGAGGATGTAGCAGATACGAAATCTGGTGAGTAATTCATGAATTCAGTCATGCAGAAAGTGGGAAAGCTGGATAACTAGGTTACATATTGATAAGTGCCATGTACAGGGTGGTCAAAAAAAATGGAAACCCTGCATTTTCCTTATATCTCTGTCACTTTAATAAAATTACTCTCTGATATTTCATACATTTGTACACCATTCATTTTCCTACCACCCTACCACATTTCATGACCATCAGACTGATAGTCACAATTTTACAGCACTTTGAATAACATGCTTCAGATTTGGCCATTATCGCGCTGTAGGCAAAACAGCACTGTTGTCAATGACCCGAATGCATTCCTCAGCAGGTATGGCCTGAATGACATAAATGATCTCACTTTTGAGGTTTGCAATTGTCCTGGGGTCATTCTCATATACTCTATCTCTGCCATATCCCCACAGGTAGGGACATTTTAGACGATGAGTACAGGTTTCCCCACAACGCAATAGTGGCCACTGGGCATGTTCTTTAAAGTACTGTAACATTGTGACTATCAATCTGATGGTCATGAAATAAAGTAGGCTCGTAGCAAATTAAATGATGTACACAAGTGTAAAATATCAGGGAGTTATTTCATAAAATGACAAAGATGTGAGGAAAATGGTATGAGGGTTTCCACTTTTTTTGACCACCCTGTAGGAGTAGGCCGGTAGGAAGAGGGTTAATGATAATTTGTGCCATAAAGGAGATGTTTACTGAATAATGATTAGTGCCATATAGGGGTATGTCTGTGGGTGGAGGGATTACAATGATTAGTGCCGTGTATTGGAGGAGGGTTACTTGATAAATAGGGCATACAATGATGAGTGCCATGTAGGGATATGTCCATGGGATAGGGATTACAATGATGAGTGCCATGTATGGGAGGGTAACTTGATAAATAGGGCATACAATGATAAGTGCCCTGTAGGGATATGTCCATGGGTTGGGATTACAATGATGAGTGCCATGTATGGGAGGGTTACTTCATAAATAGGGCATACAATGATAAATGCCATGTAAATATGTCCATAGAGATATGTCCATGGGATAGGGATTACAATGATGAGTGCCATGTATCGGAGGAGGGTTACTTGATAAATAGGGCATTCAATGATAAGTGCCATGTAGGGATATGTCCATGGGATAGGGATTACAATGATGAGTGCCATGTATGGGAGGAGGGTTACTTGATAAATAGGGCATACAATGATAAGTGCCATGTAGGGATATGTCCATCGGATAGGGATTACAATGATAAGTGCCATGTATTGGAGGAGGGTTACTTGATAAATTAAGGGCATACAATGATAAGTGCCATGTAGGGATATGTCCATGGGATAGGGATTACAATGATAAGTGCCATGTATTGGAGGAGGGTTACTTGATAAATAGGGCATACAGTGATAAATGCCATGTAGAGATATGTCCATGGGATAGGGATTACAATGATAAGTGCCATGTATTGGAGGAGGGTTACTTGATAAATTAAGGGCATACAATGATAAGTGCCATGTCGGGATATGTCCATGGGATAGGGATTACAATGATAAGTGCCATGTATTGGAGGAGGGTTACTTGATAAATAGGACATTCAATGATAATTGCCATGTAGAGATATGTCCATGGGATAGGGATTACAATGATGAGTGCCATGTATGGGAGGAGGGTTACTTGATAAATATGGCATACAATGATAAGTGCCATGTAGGGATATGTCCATGGGATAGGGATTACAATGATGAGTGCCATGTATGGGAGGAGGGTTACTTGATAAATAGGGCATACAATGATAAATGCTATGTAGAGATATGTCCATGGGATAGGGATTACAATGATGAGTGCCATGTATGGGAGGAGGGTTACTTGATAAATAGGGCATACAATGATAAATGCCATGTAGAGATATGTTCATGGGATAGGGATTACAATGATAAGTGCCATGTATGGGAGGGTTACTTGATAAATAGGGCATACAATGATAAGTGCCATGTAGGGATATGTCCATGGGATAGGGATTACAATGATGAGTGCCATGTATGGGAGGAGGGTTACTTGATAAATAGGGCATACAATGATAAATGCCATGTAGAGATATGTCCATGGGATAGGGATTACAATGATGAGTGCCATGTATGGGAGGAGGGTTACTTGATAAATAGGGCATACAATGATAAATGCCATGTAGAGATATGTTCATGGGATAGGGATTACAATGATAAGTGCCATGTATGGGAGGGTTACTTGATAAATAGGGCATACAATGATAAGTGCCATGTAGGGATATGTCCATGGGATAGGGATTACAATGATAAGTGCCATGTATGGGAGGAGGGTTACTTGATAAATAGGGCATACAATGATAAGTGCCATGTAGGGATATGTCCATGGGATAGGGATTACAATGATGAGTGCCATGTATGGGAGGAGGGTTACTTGATAAATTAAGGGCATACAATGATAAGTGCCCTGTAGGGATATGTCCATGGTATAGGGATTACAATGATAAGTGCCATGTATTGGAGGAGGGTTACTTGATAAATTAAGGACATACAATGATAAGTGCCATGTAGGGATATGTCCATGGGATAGGGATTACAATGATAAGTGCCATGTATTTGAGGAGGGTTACTTGATAAATTAAGGGCATACAATGATAAGTGCCATGTAGGGATATGTCCATGGGATAGGGATTACAATGATAAGTGCCATGTATGGGAGGAGGGTTACTTGATAAATAGGGCATACAATGATAAGTGCCATGTAGGGATATGTCCATGGGATAGGGATTTCAATGATAAGTGCCATGTATTGGAGGGTTACTTGATAAATAGGGCATACAATGATAAATGCCATGTAGGGATATGTCCATTGGATAGGGATTACAATGATGAGTGCCATGTATGGGAGGAGGGTTACTTGATAAATTAAGGGCATACAATGATAAGTGCCCTGTAGGGATATGTCCATGGGATAGGGATTACAATGATAAGTGCCATGTATTGGAGGAGGGTTACTTGATAAATAGGGCATACAATGATAAGTGCCATCTAGGGATATGTTCATAGGATAGGGATTACAATGATAAGTGCCATGTATTGGAGGAGGGTTACTTGATAAATAGGGTTTATGATGATTAGTGCCATGTAGGGGTATGCCTGTAGGAAAAGGATATGACACGAACTGAGTTGGTCAGTTGGTAATATCTCACTTAAAGAGTCATTCTATATTAGCACATGGCCTTGGTATTTGTACTTTCAATAACTAGAGGCTTTTATTTTTTACAAGTCTAGTCTCTATGGAAAAACATCGATTTTTATAATTATATGTGGTACTAGACATTCTATGAATGCCACCAAGAAGTACTGGCATAGTTGTAACCTACAGCATCTAGCATCGGTGAAGGTGTTTGTATTTGTTACATTATTTAATATGTTTGTGTATAATCGCAACCACATTTTGTCATTTTGCCTGTTTATGTCTTGTTTGCTTTTGGATCATTCAGTTGCATTTTAGCATAAGTCATCTAATTGTGTTAATATAAATATAAGTATTAATCATTAATTTTTATGTATATAAAAACACTTGAATATATACAAATATTTAGACTTATTTACACTTTTCAGGAATTGTAAAAATGTAATATACTGATCATAAACATTACCTTGCTTTGACAATTGATTATGGAAAGGTTGAAAGAATTGAAATCCCTTTTTATGTGATAAAGAGTCTATTTAGCAAGAAAATACAATGAAGTGGTAGTTTAAAACCTGTTCTTTGTTGTCTTGTAGAAAATGTGCCCAAACCGCAAGCGCAGGAGGAAGAAGAGGGCAAGGTAGTCTTCCGTGGTAAGTAGCTATTGAAATACTCTGTTTTCTTTATGTTAAGGCTCCATCCTTTTCACTGATCTCAACCGCATAAACATGAAGACACTTTCACATAATGGTGGCATTTAGGTTGGTAACCAAACTCTCTCAGAACTGAATCTGTTATTGAATGGTCATGGAACCATAGATGTAGCTAGAAACATTGACCGGAAAGATGAAGTCAATCTCTCTATTGATGTACTCCAAGTTCAAAGGTTATAAGTCATAACCATTTGCATGAATATGCATGCGCAAAATTAACCCATTTTGTAACCAAGGCGTAACAAAATTGCCAAGTTGATAACCTGAAAAATCGACATTTATGATTTAGTCACTGTCAAGTGTGATGTCGTTAACCTTAGGACACAACTTTTTGGAGGTTGCAACTGGCGAAACAAGCACAGCCTATATAACATCATACTCATATTCATTTCATAGATATCACTGCAAGTTAGTGTTGTCGCGATGTGCCATAATCGTACATCGATGCATCGGCAATTTTCAGTAGTAAACATCGATGCACATCGCGATGTACATCGAGAAAAAGTCCAAGAAAAGTGCACTGAAATACCGAACGCTAATGCACTAAAATACCGAACATCTGGTACATCCGGGAACTTCTAGAAAGGTGAAATGAAAGTAAAGTAATTCTTTTAGATTAATGGTTCATTACGAATAGCTAAAACAGTTTTAAAGCGAAAGAATATCAGAAAACATTGGAAAATGAAATAAGACATGAGAAAGGTAAGCGATTTGCGTGAAAATAAGATAAGAAAGGGTGATTTTTAGCAAATTAATTTTTTTCAAAAACATCGATGTTTTGTTTCAGACATCGATGCATCGCCAGAATCAGCTTTGGCGATGTATATCGCGATGTATCGATTAATCGCGACAACACTACTGCAAGTACATCATATATCATCAAATAATTGATCAAACTACTGTCAATCTGGAGCTTATAGAGAGTATGTCCATTATGTTAGTCTTTTTGTTAATATGAGATTCTATGATGGTCTGATTTTATTCAAGGATTTTAGTGCTGATTTAGGGTAATTCTTTTTGTAATTAAAAATAGATACCATTTTTATTACATGATGAAAATCAATTTTGTTGATAATTTTCTCACAAGTCCTCTTCTATTTAGATTGGGATTTGCAGTATCTTAGAATTGCAGTTTAGTTTGAAATAGAGTTAACCAACTAAAATCAACACAACATGATGCTGCTGACACTTTGTATTGACAGACTGGGTTTCAAAAATAAGCTGTTAGCATAAACACTTTCAAGTTTTATCAGTTCAGCTTTTTCAAATGAAGTGGCTTTTGGAGTGACATAATTGTGTTCCTATATTGATCCCTGAGAGAATACTTCACTTTTGATTGCAGATTAAACAAAAAGTGAGTTGACATTATAACTGGTGTAACTTTCATGTTGATATCACATTGGATGATATTAATGATTTGTCAGTTTCTAAAAAATAGGACTGAAATACAATTTGCGTTTTGAAGTAAATATAAACATACATGGATTCAGACAATCTGATTAAGCTGATTGTTGTAAAATATCTCTAGATTCTGATTTGGAATTATTTTATTGACAATGAAGACGCAGGAGATAGATGTGCTGGTTCCTGATAGGACCCAGAATGCCGTGTTGAAGATCTATATATGTGAACATGATCTCATTGCAGTCAAGGTCAATAGTAAGTTTGTCAGCTCACAAGACTGCCTTAAATATCAATTAAATGTAATTCTTCAAAATATATTTGTATGGGATATTCGATATAATCAGATTTCATAACATGGTCATTGCATGGCAGGCAATAATACAAGAGACTAGTTCAAGAGAAACAATTAGCCTTCCATAAAAACAATATGGCAGGGGCCCCGGAATCAACTGGATCGATTTATTTTTTAGAATCAATGCGGGATGCTGGTAGAATTACTGTTAGTTATCCTAATGAATGGATTCCATAAGGAATATAGACTGCCATCTATCCTTATTTTTCATATATTCCATGTATTTTGGTCCAACTCCCAGGGATCATGAACATGTATGACGTCATTGAATTTGCATAATACAAGCAGATTACAACATAGGTCAAAATGAAAAATTCAGGTAATGCTCTTTATATATGACTGTCATATAAATGTATATTATTTAGTGATTATCTCTTCAATTAATATTTGGTATATATAACCTATTGATATTATACTAAAACACATTTCAATTTTCTCAGTGAATAGTTAATGTCTAAACTTATTTCGCAAGTGACCTCCGTCATTTAAAATGCCTGGGAGAAATAGTGTTTCCAATTTCAGCATACATATGATAGCAGTATATAAACTGACCATATGTCAGCTGTATGTTTAATATTACAAACTCTAATAATAGTAAAATTGTTTCAAATTATTGTATTGTATTGGTTGGAACACATATGATTTAGAGAACAATGTGCACATAAGCAAATGAAGATATAAGAATGAAGTTTCTACAAACACCAACCTTAACCAATTTAATATATACCAGTATAATAGATACATGAAATAAAGATTTACATTTTCAAATCATCATTAAATAAACTAAAATAAGGAAGTATGAATTGGATTATACTTAAGCAGTAGTAGATAAGTAGATCTTTTTTTTTTAAACTTAAGGAATCAATGAGCTTTCAGAAGGGGCATTATTTCAGAAGCATTAGGGCTAACTTTGCAATGTGTGTATATCAGGTGAGGTATATGAAGCCTATCAAATACCAGTGAATATCCAAGTATGGGCTTACAAGAGAAAAGAAAAACTCTTGAAAGCCCATGTAATGGTCTAAGTCATGTAATGAAACAAAGATAATATACCTGTAAACTTAAAGACTTACACATATGGCATTACCTGATGTCACTACAAGTGTTGTGTTTTCAGCTGTAAGTTCATAATTTCTTGATGACTTATATGATAATAACTACTTGTAAAACTTAATGTTATCCACCAAATAATGTTTGAGTTGGGATATAGAGATGTCCATGTCATATATCTGTATGTACATCTGCCTATTCATAGTTCCTTCCAAAGCTCTAAGTTCAAATTTTTGATGTTTATCGTTTAAATTATTAAAAAAAAGTTTGACTGTAGGCGTTCTTCATACACAAAGTCAATAAAAGGTTTCAACAGTTCATCATGAAATTTTGACTAAAAGCAGTATTTTTCTTGAAAAAGATAATTTGGTAACATATCACTGTGTGCATGGTATGGAGGACAACTAGATTGAAAGAAAGATCAGTAATTCGATATGGACAGATTGTCTACATGGAAAGTATCTAATATCTACTCTTTGTATCTAGAAGAGACTATAATCTCAAGAGATTAACAATATTGTGCTTGATACAAATCCTTTGATTGAGATAAATATGAGATTAAATGAGTTTAATACATAGATAGAAACATATGCCATAATGGACCTGAAACCTAGAAATAAACACAGGTATACTAAACAGAACTCTTATTTAATGACCCTAATAGTCAACATAAACCAGACCTACAGCAATTTAAAAAATTCAGAATTAAATAAGTGAGTCATGAATAAATGCTGGGTGTAAATATTCATAAATGACAGTTAGATAAGAACTACTTAACTTTACTGTATACTGCCAACTACAGTGTTGTATTGCTGTATTTGCAAGTTGTTTATCAACAAAATTCAGTTATGAAAATGACACATTAAACAAACTATAAAAGATGAAACAACTAGTATCTAGAATTGCTAGTAAATTGAACATAAATTATGAACATAAAATCAAAGAAACAAATGGATTACAGATAACAAATTATATAATTAAGCAACAAAACATACCATTAGCTTAGTTTTAAAGTAGCTGTACTATAATGGCATAGATACAATCAGCTCAGAAATCTTTTTTTCTTTTTGCCTTACAATAGACTCTCAAGGGAATGTTATATTAGGAGATATTAGGGAAGGTGGAATTATATCAAGATGTAAAATTCAAATGAACTTAATCAGAGTAAAAAGAGATTGATCAATAGCAAAAATAAAAGATATGGAAGTATCAAGCGTGATGATATAATATAAGATGCAATAGGAAATGTTGATATCTTACATCTCTGGTGAAAGGATTTACATTGTATATATGACTAAAGGGGAAGCCATGGAAGCCATACTTGCACCCCTGTAATTTCACTTGCTTTTAATACATCTACAGTTTCGTATGTTTTTCTCTTAGTTCATTTAAGTTGTGTTTGGAGTTTTTGGGAGGTTAGTTATAAATAAATAATAACTTATTGAGACATACATGTAATATTATATAATGTTATAAAGTGAACTTCAACTGCTCCAAACACAAGCTTATGTTGTGTTCATTGTATCTAATTTAAATAAAAGGCGAAAGGGGAAGCCATGGAAGCTTAGTTTGTAAACATTTATTCACTTACTATAATACATTATTCAGACTGAACTGAATATCATTAAATTCTCTATGATTCACATGTGTCTGGGTAACTTTGGTGATCCATGCTTGTATATTATTGATCTGTGAGTACAACATTAATTTCTATGATATGTCACTGATATTCATCTTTGAGCTGTTGACCTTGACCTTGATAAGGGTAAAAGGTCAGTGGTTCAATGTCAATGTTTTGTAAACATTCTGTTCTTTGAAACTGCTTTGTGCATGAACAGAGGAAAAAGAGAAGGAAATAAGTAAAGTTAAAGGTTAGGTAAAAGTTACTGTTAATTTAGAGGATAAATAATAGCAATGGATTGGATAATTGAAATAATCATTGTTGAATAATTTATGAAGCATCAGTGTTATATTAGCAGAGAGATTGGATGTGAATGTAAGCATATAACATATAGGACTATTACAATGCAAAGATAGACAAGGTAGATGTTGTTAATGATGTTCATTATAGAAAAGTAGATGGAATTGATATTTCCTTATTTCATTTAGTATTTTATGATATAATCACTGATAA